AGGAATATCTTTGCTGTGTGCATCACGTTGAAGGCACACAGAAGTAGACTAGCATAAAAGAAAAAATAGCCTTATAGGAAGACATGAGCTGTAGGTAGGAGAACCTGGCACTGAGGGAATGCAGAATAAGCCTCCATGCTAATTCATGTGTAAAGCAGCTTCCAGTAGCAGCTGCACTCGAGGAAGTGCAGACGGTCAGATGTGACAAGATACAACGCTGGACTGACAGATTGACTGGCAGGCCTAGAGGGCTGCAGGGATACCTCATGTCACAAATACAACTGCAAGAAGGCAAGAGAGTGAAATGTTTCTAAATAACAACTAATTGCAGCAAAGAAACAGTACTACGAGAAGTACCGCGCTGTTGGTTTTTACAGCTGGGACGGGCAGGAAGAGGGGAGGCAGCAATGAATGGAGCGTATCAGATAGATGTCTTAAAGACACACGTTTTGGGAAACCCCTGATTGCATAGCGGTCTTTTTAAGCCTGGCAGACTTATTTCATTCTCTTCCCATTGTGCTAGGAAAAAGGAGAATTTTTACCATCCTCGCAACAAACTGTAAAGCTCCTTTTAGTTTTGTAACTACAAGGCAGCTATTTCAAAAGCCCAGAGCATAGTCAGCTCAAGAAAAAGTCAAATATTTGGATAAAAGTACCTTTTGTTTAACTTACGTATTTTGTCAGAAGAAGAGCACTGTTCTTGCAATGCAACACAACTCTAACAACATCTTCATTTTGATTTCAGAAGTCTACAGAACAAATGAAGAAAGTACCAACCATTGTCCTGTCTGTCTCTTACAAGGGAGTGAAATTTATTGATGCAACAAATAAGGTATGTGCAATTGTTCAATATTAGCTTTTATTTCTCACAACTAGGAATACCTATGAGGCTGGCTCTGTAAGAGCACCAGGCCAGTGACAAGACAGTTGCATTTGTGTTTTCCTCTCTTTTTTCTCTTCTCGTCTCTCCAAAATGGATGTAATCTCATTGTCATTCTCCAGAAACTCAGTCTGGAGGACAAGTGAAGCAGCTTTAATAGCTCATTTGGAGAACTTTGTGTCCAACCTTCTGCCATTAAAAGGCAAGCTTATCACAAAAGACGTTTGGCAGGGAGCCTCTGTGGAATCCTTTACTATATTCTTCCCTGTACAGTTCCTTAAATATGCAGAAAATATATATAAATTTGTTCATTAATATAATTTTGGGAGAAAAAAAAAAAGATATCTCAATGAAGAATAAAGATGCAAGGTTTTATCCAGGACCAGCCATTGTAAGAATAAAAAACCACGAGCTTTGAATGTCCTTTTCAAATGTCAGAGCCTCTCTGAGAGTTGTTTTCCTGGTACGAGCCATTTGACGCCCTGAACAGCAGCAGCTTTTTTCATCTTCCTGTGTGGCAATGCCCCTGTGCTTTGTTTCTTACATTTTAAAATACAGCCAACATCTTTTTTAAAAAAAAAAAGAAAAAAAAAGCAGAAATTGAGAGATCAGAGTACTCAGTGATGGGTAGAGCAATGCGTTATTGCTTAGCTGAAGTAAAATGTACAAGCTCTGTAAGCAGGAGTAAAGTAATGCATTAATTTCTCTTCTTCGGATGTCTAAAATGGCAAGAAAATACAATCCATACTGATGCTTGCATATGAATAGAAAAGAAATTATCTTTTCTGTTATGTGACTAAAACTCACTAATCAATATAAAAAATAAATTTGACAGCCCAGCTACCTGACCAGGTTAATAATGTATATAAATGCTTTGTGTTGCTGAACATTCAGACCACGCGATACATCTAACCCAGTATCCGTCAAACTTGCCAAATCAGTCCGTTTTTAAAGGTCTTTAGCTAGAACTGGGTTTTAAGTAAAGGAATGAAAGCAGATTTGTGAACTTCTGCTAGAGTTTGGAAGCCATATCTAGGGTTAGAAGATGGCATGAAAGAAAAACAGAGGTGAAATTACTGTTATGTCAAGTCTGGCATATTTGCCAGAGCAGAGAGGCCAGGGATTCCTGTCAGCTCCTTTTTCTTCCATTGATTCAAAATGGAGCTTCTACAACCCTCATTTCCTTTATGTTCTCTCATGTGCAGGGCATAAATCAGGACGTTGTAATGCTGTTAACTCTTAACTTGGATAAGGCTGTTTTCAGCTCTTAAATCTCCTCTGTGGTGTAAAGGATGTAACTGCAATGTCCTTAGGTTTACAGGAGAACAGAAGGAGCTTCTGGTATCTCTTTGCACAGTGCATATAATCTTATGTAAGATGGAAACTTGAAAGAAGTTTGGCAAATTGCATTAAAGGTGGCTCTAGACCAGTCCCACTGAAATCTTATGCCTAGTAGTGAACTAGATGTATTTGATGGAGGTAAATAATGCCACAGTCCTGTGTTTTTTCTCAAGTGGTAGATTGCTTTCTCTCCAGTTCAAAGTCTGCACTGCCTTTCCCTTCTGTAAAAACCAGGTAATAGCCTGCAACTCTCCCAGGAGCGTTGTTATCATCCTTGTCCACAGTGTGCTGTACCCAATTCCTTCAAGACCCAAAACAGATTAGCACTAAGGTGAGATCCTATTCAGACTTGTACCGCTTCCATATGAGCTTGTAGTTGACAGCGCTGGGCACCACTTAGCAATAAATGCATACTTTTTAATGACAAAAATAGCTAGCAGTTATGTGCTTGAAAACTCAGCTCTCATGGCTGTTCATCCTTTTCCTTTATGCCACCAAGCTAAGAATTTGTATTCCGAGTTGTAGCAGGCAAAGCTTCAGGTGACAAAGGGTCCCTGACCTCATTCCACGACAGCTATTTCAGTGGCGCCTTGAAGCTTGGCATGACACCACTTTGACATGACACCATTTCTTTGCAAGTGAGGCCAGAAAGAAATTGCTGCTTAGGAAAAAGCAGACTTGCAGAATTTTCTCGTCGGTCACAGCTAACCCTAACTTCTGGATGATTTCTGCCAGCAGGGGGGTTGTCTGACACGAGGTAGGAAAGCAAAAGGAAGGCTGCTTAGCAAAAGCCTGATCTCTCAAAGGTATTTCCCTGGCAGAAGCAGAACCAGCTTTCAGATTCCCTGCTTTTTCGGAAGTGCCTGAGGTTTCTCTTGACAAACTGGGTGACAAATTTTAGAACAGCGACTGTACAGTGTCAGTCAATGCCTGAGGAGTGTACCCAGAACAGCGAGCTGGTTCGTAACCTTGTAGTTTCCACAGAATAAGACTATGGGTCTACGGGACTAGTGACCCTAGGAAACAGTAAACGCGTGCACATGTTTAATTTTGAAAGATGATCACAGAGAATATCCTATAGAAGCTAGAGAAAAAGCTCAATTTCACTACTAATTTTCATCCAGAAGATTTATTTTAGGCATAGCTGATTTTATTTGAAACAAACTTGATATGGATATGTTTCCAAACTTCACTTGGTTTAAAGTTAAAGCATTAAAATAATCTCCATGAGTTTTGACTAAAGTGCAAAGCCCTGTGTCAACCCCAGGTCACCTGGGAAGAGTTTTAGCATAGCAGAGCTCTCTTAAAGTCAGGTGATTACTTTGTGGCTCATGATTTGGCATAAATATTTCACATGATTTTAAGACCTTCCAAGCTTTCATTTTTTCTGCCTCCTAAACCACAATGTTGCCAGTACAACATCAATGACAGTGTATTACAGCTATATCTGTGGATATCTAAATCCGTGGTTTTGGTATAATTGTAATTCGCAGCAAAATCTTTATTGAGGGTAAAAGTTATCAATTTGAGAACAAAGCAAATAAAATGCTTAAGGTAACATAAAAAGCCAATGATTGTTAAGCAGAGATTATACGTGTTGTTATAAATTGGCATATATTGAAACAGTACTGGTTTTGTCATTTTTATGAATAATGCATTAAACAGAAATAATCAAGTATGTTGCAACAATTTAAGATTAAGAGGATTATTTCATTTCTTCAGTAACAGTTTCCTTATCTTGGTTTTTCCATAGTTTGAAATTTGGAATGCTTTTTATTAAGATTTTTCCTAAGCCATGATTTCTTCAATTAGATATATTAATACTTCTTTTCAAAAACTTGACACCTACATGCAAGGGGAAAAGTTGCCACTTAGCAAATGAAAGAAGATATGGCAAAGCATAGTTGCATATATTTCCTGTCTTTAAAAAAAAAAAAGAGGGGGAGGAGAGGAGGTGGGAAGGAAAAGAGAGGGGTGAGGAAAAACCAGAGATGCTCAGAGATTGTTTTAACTTGGACAGATGCCACTGAGGCAGCAGCAAACGGTGGCTCTGCGAGGGACCAGGATGCTACAGATGTCACGTGTTCTGTGGTGCGATAGCGATGTCACACTGCAGCAGGCTTGTTCACTTTGGAGTTTTGTGGAAAAGCCAGAGCTACAGCCAGCAGGGCCACAATTCAGAAAAGCATATAAACTAACCGCTAAGTAAATTAATATTCAATGAATCATTCTTCTGTTTAAATAAATCATTTGAAATGCGTGTGTTGCTGAAGCAAGGCCTAATCATAAGCCACTCTGCAGTATCTTCTTCTCTGGCTTCATGGTTCCTTTGGCCTGAATACAATAATTACATATCAGCAATTTATGTAATGAATATTCATAATTTTCTCCAAAGCTTTAAGACAGCTTTTTTTTATTTCATCGGACAGACATGCCCTACCTGTCTCAGTAGTATGCTATAGCTTACATTGGCTGTTGCAAATAGTGTTGCTCGGTGCATGAATGGTTTAATTTTTCTACATCTCTCTTACAGGATGCTGTTGTCAGTAAGTGGAGAAAAGTTGCCAGATCCTCCTGTAGTTATCTTTTTACTAAGCAGAAGCCTTTCAAGAGCTCAGGGTTTCAATTATAAGTGACGTTTGGTGTCTTATTCTTTTGAAAATGTGTAGCTGAAATTTGTCAAACAACACGTGCAAAGAACTGGATATTGAGCCTGTTGGGTTTCACTGGATCCTGTCTGTCAGTAGACTGAAACAGTGTAATGTAGTGATCATTATACAGAAAACCAGCAGCATCATAAGGTGCTTGTATAGTGCTTTGAAACTGTGTTTACAGCTGTATGCCAGGAAAGATGTCTCTTTGTCATAGGCTACTGAATAAACTGTACAAGACTCAAATGGACTCATAGGGTGGACTCTAGAATGCAATTGTTTCTTACCAGATTACTGGCAATTTTAGATATCATTGGAGAGGGTCAAAATTCCAATGACCCATGTAAGAACACACATGGGATGTATTAAATCTCTTCTTATTAAGAAACTTCTGAAATACTTAAGCACAGCAGATAAGCATAAATGCAAATCTAAAACCACACCTTTTACGGCTCTCTTACATTTAATTCCTAAATTGATTGAATATATTTTTTTTAAACAGAATATTATTGCTGAACATGAAATCCGTAACATTTCCTGTGCTGCACAAGACCCTGAAGACCTTTCTACATTTGCGTACATCACTAAAGACTTGAAGACTAATCATCACTACTGCCATGTATTCACTGCGTTTGATGTGGTCAGTTTCTAGAAGATACTTCATTTCATAGTTCTTTGTAATAGTAGCAGTTCTTTAATTCTGTTAAAACATTTTCAGGGTATGTGGTGATTAATGGAAGGTATCATTCATTTACCACATGAAAAGACTAATCTACTATGGGATAGTAAAAGAACATTTCTGGAGAAGAGCAAAGATTTTCTTTGATATTATCTCATTTCCCATCTGAAATAACTTACCTCTGTAATCTCAGCTGTTGACTGTAAACTTAGCGAGTAGCTTTTCATGCAAGTCTTGACATGTAATTCTTCTAACCTAAGCTGTAGCCTTCCGAGAAGTTTGTAACAAGCAGGTTTGGCCACCCATTCTGAAAACTCAGCACACACCAAATAAACAAATCAGAACTGGATCAATGCACATTATATACAGTGCTAAGAGGTAGGTTCAGGAACTAGCTTAAGCAAAGTCTGCAGGGTGTCCTCTGTTTTTGTCTATGTTTGTACTGCCTGTTTAGTCAGGGAAGGACTGGTTTGGTGATGTCCAGCCTTTTGGCTTTTACCCTCATGGGTCCATCCCATGCCAGCCAACAAGGGCTGAGAGGGCTGGACACTTTCTCGGGGGGACCCGTTGAGCTTGGACACATCCCACATGCATTAGCCCTGCTGTTCCATGAGTCTTAGTGTTAAGATGGATCAGGCCCAATAACTCAAACATCTCTTTAAATATTTTTTAGACTTTTTGACATTATATTGTATGAACTGGAAAACTGAAGCTTCCTCTGCAAATGTGTAGAGAATGTATGAAAAGTTTTGTATTTACTTTAACCAGAAAAGTGAAACACTTACAGATCTGACAAAGAAGAGACCACACAGGTAGCTAATTACATATCTCAAGAGGTCCTAGGAATATTTGGCTACCACACTGAATCAGAAAGATTTGAAACATCTGTGATAGAGATCTGTGCAGAGCATTGTCCTGTCTGTGTTCCTGTGTAAGAGGTTACCCCTGTAACCGTCAACACAGTATTATTGTTAGATGACCCCTCTGTTGTTCTCTGCTCTCTGACTTGTCAGTGGGAGTTTTAGCTTAACAAATAAGGCAGATATGGAACTTGGGGAAATTTTATTTTAGCAGCACCTTTCCCTTTTCAAAAAAAGATGCATTTATTTTGAAAACAGCAAATTAATGCTATAATTCTTACTTTCTTGTTCTAACCTTCTTGCCTAAAAAAAAAAATCTCAAAAATGTTATTTCAGCAAAAGTCCTCACAGCTCCTGTTATTTTGGTGGAAAATGACTAAGTTCTTCCTATATTTATGCTTCTCAGATGGTGATACACAAACTACTAGTGTTTCAAGAAATCATGAGTACATTTCAATTAATCAGTCATATTGTTTTCAGCTAAATTTGGTGAAATAAGTAGTGGCTCTAATTTTTAGGACTAAGAGGGCTTATTGTCCAAAAAGTTCAGGAACACTTGCCATTTGAGTTAAGCACAAGAGAAATTTAAAATGCTATTAAAACTTTAAATCATTCAAGAAAAAAATATTTTAGTATAGTATAATGTGTATGAATTCTTGAAACATGCTTACACGAATGTAAATAAGTTAAACAAAAAAACAGATATGTCTGAACTGAGATATTTTATTTGTGACTGGGGAAGTAGTCAGCATTGCAGAGTGACAGAATGTAGGATAGTTTAAATAAAAAGATGTACAGGAAGGTAGGTTAGAAGGAATTTTAGCATTTTGGTTCAGTGCTTTTGTTGTTTAACTTCTCTGCTGACATTTTAGTGTCCACAGGGAGTAGAAAATATTTCAAAATTCTGTTAAAAATAGAAAGACCATGGTCAACAAGATGTTACATTATATAGATTTTAGTGGTAAGTGAATCAACTGAAATTAGACTGATTGAGTGAGGTTATTACTTCTCCTGATCCATTTAAATACTACTTAATGGTTTCAAAGTACTGCAGTTTCATTTATAGGTTTAATAATCAAGCACAAACATAGACGCAGGTGTAGCAGATGAAATTCATTTTCTCCTTGCTTGGCAAGGAAAGAATAGTGATCCAGGAATAGTTACAACATTTTGCTCACTTCCTGTACCTTAGGAGGAGCATTTAATACCCCAAGCACTTTAAATGGCTATTTTAAGCAATACAGAAACTTTAATGTCTAACTGTCTTAACTTAGTTTTCTCCTGCAACATAATCCTCAGTGGGGTGTTACCTACTCAAATATTCTCTTTTTGTGTTATTTTATTTCTCAGGATCTAGCATTTCTGATGCAAGTACAAGCTCCATAAAAATAGCTAGATATTCAGAACACAAGCATACAGTAAATTAAATTTTCTATTTAAAGTCTAACACTTATGTTAGCCTGATCTTCCAGTTTGCTATAGAAACAGTCCTATCCATTTGTCAATGGATAGAAGTTCAATCATATTAAGAAAAATAAGGTTTAAAGTGGTAGAAATCCACAATAAGGTGTAAAAAAGATGCATTTTAAATCATCTATATTATGGTAATACAATATATGCAATGGTGTGAAAAAAATTTCACTCTCTCAGGTCCTTCAGTTCCTCATGAAATGTGGGCAAGAACAATTTTTTTGCAGATAGGAAAGCATTTTAGTGTAGTGACATGTCAACTACCAGCATTACTGATACTTAACTATTTAGGAGTGACTGTACATGTCACTTCTCTACTCAGAGTTAAAATTCTATAATCAAAATTGCAAAAACATCAGACTTGATTAAATACTGAAGGGGACGAGGTTTGGGGTTGGGGGAAGAAGAGGATTTACTGCTCAATATTTGAAATCCACTTCACTCTTATTCACTTACAAAGCAGCCCTAAAATTACCACTAAAGGATTCCCTCTGGAGAAACAAACCACCATAACAGTTCCTATACCAAATTCTGGTTCATATATGGGAGACATCCAAATAATTTCCATCAGATATTCCTTCATTGCCCAATGCACCTATGAGTAGGAGACAACCGGCATAACTTGGAACAATTTCTGCTCTTGCTTATGCCAAGGATTAGACTGGTGCTTTACATAACACATAGACTTTTTTCTTTTCTGTATTCTTTAGTCCTTCATTGCACAGACTTAAGCTGGATAAGAATTGGAAACTGTTAGTATACATACTTAGCAGAGAAGAAAAAGAGTGCATTCAGGTCTCAAAGTTCTGTTCATTGCCTTCTTCCAGGGGATTAGGGGACTTCATAAAATTTTTCTCTGTTCATGGGATCATCCAGGTACAATCAGTGTGGCATCCCCATGTCTCCAGAACAGAAAACTTCTTTCCTTTGCAGTATCCAGAGACAGCATGCCCAGACAGTTCCCCTCTCTAAGGAATATTAGGTGGAATGTTTTCATTTCAGTTGCTCCTGGCAAACTTCTTGAGATGGAGCACACTCGGGTGCAAGGAGCTTTCAGCTCAGGAGCAAATGAATCTCTCCTCTCTTGTCTACATCAATGGGTTTTGCAACAGTCTGGAAGGCCCACTTTGAAGGCCTGTTTCCATCCTCCCCTTGCATACAATATGTCTTTCTGTGCCGCATTAGAAGAGAGGGATGGATTCAGAAGAGTTTGCCTTCCACGATTGCTTTAAATCCAGAATGAGAAAGGATCAAGAATTTAAGTTGCAGGAGTGCCTGATCGTGAAAGCCTCATGTAGCCCAGGACTCCACAGATGTTACAAGCAAATGCCAGCCGTGTTGGTCTCATCGTACCATCTTTAGCAACCTGAGCTTTCTTCCCCTTGAATGCACAAAGGCTGACATGTTGGAAAGCACAGACAAATCCATGTCCTTTCTAGATCCCCCCAAAAGTAAAAGTTTTGAGGTCTGGAGGGATAAAGCATATGTACACTTAAGAGTGTAAATGTGTAAGTATGTCAGTTCTGCATCTGAAAAAAACCCTGTTACTAGTAAGTAACCTTCTCTTCTTGTCAGGCTCTTACAGTCGAAATCCTCAACATTTGGCCTTGAAGATTTTGTTGCAACTAAGAAGCAGGCAACTGATTTTTATCTCAGGGGATGGATATTTTAAACTGGGTTGGGATTTTTCAGGTTTTTCAAGTTAAGGTTGCATATATTCTATTCTGTTTGATTTTTGCCATCTGCGATTTTAAGTTTGGTACCTTGAACACAGGGTGTCCTAACTGACATTCCTACACATCCAGTGTGATGGGTAGCTCACACTGATCATCTGAGAGGCTCCAAAGGAAGCTTCTTCAGTAAATTCAGTCTTCAAAAAAGACCAGATTGATTTTAAAGAAGGAAAAAAAGCATCACCTAAAAGCAAAAACCCGTAAAATCCTCATTATATGGAAAAATGCTTTCCCAAAAAGGCAAAATGTTAGTTTTTCCAAAAATTCCTTTGCAATGACATTTTATGTTTTTATAGCTCAAAGGACAGAAAACTTATTCTATTTATTAAATTTATTAAAATATTCCTGAAGCCTCAACATAGCTTTATAGCAGTAACTGCAACTTATGCAGTAAAAAAGTCAGTTAAAGTGTAACAGAACAATTAGCAATCGTAATAGGTTGGCTGAATTAAAGCCGCTGAAGAATCCTGACTCAGACTTCACTGGGGCATTGAATTGTAACATTACGTGGCAAACAAGGCAATTGACTTCAATTTCTCATCTCCCAGAAATTGTTGCTTAAAGGCGTTATCTTACTCACTTTCCTCCTCTGCTGTGCTAAGCAAAGAACAGGCTTGTGGTAGCCTCAGAACCACAGAGGTCCTAAAAGTTTTGCCTCCTTTCCTAGGAGCTTGATGGGGTGCTGTAAGGGTCAATGTCTTCTACAGTGACCAGGGGGTCTACAACTTTTGTGCTAAGCATCTTTCAGGGAGGCAGACCTGATTCCTTCCTTTTCTGCCACATTTAAAAATATCAAATAGTCTCCCCACTCCATCAGAAGAATTTGCACGACTGCTTTTGTGGTTTGGATTGGTTTGGTTTGGTTTTCCACCCTCATCCCTAAGAGATCTTGCTCTTACCTCTCCAGTATAGCCCATGCAAGAATCCATACAAACTCTAACCCTCATATTCCTCTCCCAGGACTACAGGTGAGAAATTCCTCAAACCAAACTTACTTACTCCTGTTTTTTTCAAAATACAATTTTGCAGATGCCTTTTTTAAATTTTACAAGGTACAATTTTAAAGCCCTCCTTGCCTCCATTTGCAGACGTCTCTTCTTCAAGGCTCTAGTGCAGAACACAATGTATGAAATTTATGTACAAGTTACGGTTCAGTTTACATTTTGAATATTGAACAGAACAGTGAATGTTCTATTTTCTATATTTCAAATATTTATTAACCATAGAAACAGTTACATGTTTCCAATGGCTTTCAGGCTCCAGGCAGGCCTATTTTTTTTTTCATTCGACACATTACAGAAGAAAATAAAACATAGTGGCTTCTGACAAGATTCAGGACCCAGACTAGATTTATGGCTCAGCATGGCAAGCTCTCTGCTTGTCTCCATTCTTATCTCAGAGTTTTTCAAGCCTGTCTCTCAATGACCTTTTGTATGCCACACTGGATGGTGCATTTTCTCAGTCCCACTAGTTTTACAGTCTACTTTTTCTCCAAGCCATTACTACACCCTGTCCCACCGATGGATTCCTTAGCAATAATAATACCCACTGTAGACAATCTCATGACGATGTAGTACACTATCTTACTGTCAGGACAGCAGATTAAGATGTCTTTAGAATAATATTCTTGTGCTACTAATAAGTGCACTCAATTTCAAATAATATTATTCTGTACATTTTTAACAATTATACTCTGTTGGTCTTAATTCCGTAGCCAGCGTTCTGCTAAAAGGCAGGGCACTTTATAATAGTCTCTTTAGCCTTTCGTTTATTACTCCACTGGAAAATTGCATCCTCAGTGTTTCTCGGTCCTGGCCAGTTTCCTTAAGTTAAAGGGGAGACTATTTGGAGACTACTGCTATCAAATCAGGCATACATTTCTATTTGGGAAGCTCAAACTTTGGCTAGCTTGCTGTTGTGACTGCAGTTGTAACAGCTGAGAGCATATCCCAGTGGAGGAATATAATTGTTTTCTGTCTGACCTAACAAAGACCAGAGCTGGCACCTTTATAAGAAGCTCTTATAATGAGCTAAATATGCTGAATTTAGCCTATACTATCTCAGTATACATGTGTGATAACAAAGGGATGGAATTTCTTTATGACTACAGTGCCATTACAGTGTAGGGCATGAAAGAAAATGCTTATCCTTTTAACTGTGTTTTAACGATTGAAGGGCAGATAGTGTACTGCCAAGTGTCTTGCATTGCTTTCTGCCTTATTGCAAACTCAACAGACAGACTTGACTAGCTAGAGAGATACCTCATTTAAAATTATATCAGAAACATGTCAGAATTTTAAGGGATCACCTAGTTTCAAAGCAATGCAGGATTGCTTCCAACTATGGGCTGCAGAGGTTCAGGAAGGAGAGGGTAACTTCTGAATTACATCAAAGATTTATGAATTATTCTGAGGAGACTGTAGGACATAAGGAAGCAAGCCTGCAGGCTCTGCAGGGTGTCAAAACATTATTGGAAAGTTAGGAGCCTAGAAATAGGCTCTAGTGGGAGCCTGCAAAACAAACCCACAAACCTGAAAAAAAATTACCATAGAAATTCACTTGTGGTTTAGATTAAGGTCAAATTTGAACTCACAGCTGCTTTTTAGTTGATGCAAAACTGTACTGAAAAAATATTTATACCAACCCCCTGGATCCTCATTCACGCTTTATAAACTTTTCAACAGGTTTTCTTCCACATATGCAATGAGAACTTACCACCAAACTGGTCTTAGTCTTAAGAGCCTGACATCTTTGGTCATACACACTAACCCCCCTGCTTACAAGAATATGCTAACAAACCAGTTTAAGCTCAAACATTTTTACCTCTAGAAAACAAAACCATGAGAAGGTTGCCCCAGCACTTGAAACATGCATCCAAAGCAGAACACTGACTTCCATGCATGCATGCATAGGTGCACCGCACCTGCGAAGCAGAGCATGCGCTTTCAACATTTGCTTTTTGTCCGTTTGGAAGCATCACACCAACACTGCATCCTCTTCCCGTGCCATTCGGTGAGAGCACAGAGCATCCCGAGGTGCACTCCCGGGGAAGGTGCGCATCGGGCTGCCAGCTCTGGAGGAGAACGGGTCAGCAGAGGAGGTCCGAAATAGAGCAAGGTGGAATGTCAGATAGGCGCAGTAGTGCAAGATGGGTGGGATCTTGAGAGCAGCAGCTACGGGGTGAGCTGGGAAGTCGGGGGGATTAATGTACTTGTTCTAAAAAGAGATGACACACACTCACCCACTCCTGTTTTCATGTTCAGTGAGACAGTGTTTGCAAGGTTTTTAGAAGTAATTACTTCCAGTACAATAAATTACATTTAGATTGTTTTTAATCAATGAGAAATCAAATGACAGATGTATATATTGCAGAGGCTTAGGAAGTTATTACCAGTGTGATTTTAATTATTTACATTACAAATCACTTCTGTAGACAGTATTACCCCACTTCATGTATCTGACGATAATTCAACCCTCACTCCAATTTTAACTGCTTTTGTTTTGTTCCAGAATTTAGCTTACGAAATCATTCTTACACTAGGACAAGCATTTGAGGTGGCCTATCAGCTTGCACTACAAGCACGAAAAGGGGGCCATTCTTCAACCCTCCCAGAAAGCTTTGAAAATAAACCCTCCAAGCCTATTCCCAAACCACGTGTTAGTATTCGGAAGTCAGTGGTAAGTAGAAAGTAGTGGTGCATGCAAACAAAAAAAATTCAGCTATACAGTTAAGAGTTGATATACATAGAAGCTGTATAAATAAATATACTTGTGGAGTCAGAAATGCTCCATGTCTCTTCTCATCAGCTGGTAGGGTTGTGTCACCGCAACAAGGGCAACCGCTTCGCACAACTGCTCATTTCAGATTCCTCCAGTTTAAGATGTTGCTTGGCTAGTATGGGTAGGGAAGGAAAGGGGAAAAATGACGGCACGCTGTATTATATTCAGTGGCTATAAAGTGAGAACCATACTCCATGATATCTAGTTATTGGATGAGAGGAAGGGGGAAAAAAATGTATGGCTGTACACTTTGTTGTCCCTTGCCACAGAATCTTCATCCATAAAATTTTAGAGAAAGAACATTTCCTGATGCAATCATCTGTCTTAGTAACAAAAGGACTTCTCAGGACCAAGTCTAGCTTTAAACATAGCTTTAACAACCTGTGATGCCCTATAGCTTCGGAATAGACACAGCTCTGATCTAAAGAGGAAAAAGGAGGCAACTGTGGGTACATGGGAGTGTAGACCACTGCACTCGCTGCTCTAGGACCTTGTCGATACAGGATTTATTCTGCATTCTGTTCGTTTAAAGAAAAAAATTCTGCTAGAAACGCTGTGCGCAGAGATAGTAACCCGTCTGTATGTTTGCATTTGTCTTACAGCAGATAGATCCATCTGAACAAAAGACTCTTGCGAATCTACCATGGATTGTTGAACCTGGACAAGAAGCCAAAAGAGGCATTAATACCAAGTATGAAACTACAATTTTCTGATACAAAACTGTCCCCCTGTTCCTTGTTGTGCCTTGCACGCCAAGCAGTCACAGCACAGCCTTTCCTTTATGGCAACGTTTCAATCCAGCAGAGAGGAAGACTGCACTGTATGAGTGGCCTTGTAACTAACAAAAAAGGCTGACAGTCATTTCTGGTGATGTTCTTCTTCCTGCAGCACTGACAGAAGAATGACACTATATGAAGACTTTTGAAATTACAGTCCACAAGAGGAGTGAGAAACCTTATTTTTCACGCAGTTCTCCCTTGTGACTCTGCCACAGTGCTTTCTTTGATTTCTTATTTTAGAATTCTACTTTTTAAAAGAAACAAAAGGTCTCTAAACTAACACTAATGCTGCCTATGAGTAAAATATTTGATTGGTTTTTTATTTAAATCTTGGCAGTTTTTAATTGAAATAGAACCAGAATTAATAAGTAGAGTATTTGTGAAACCACTGAACTCATTAATAATTACTGTGTTGAAATAAGACCTCATTAAAGTGACAAGAAATTAGGCACCCTGATTTCTGTGTGCGCTGGTTTTATATGTAATCATTGGTGTCCTTTGATCCTCTACAGAAATAGGAACCTCTTGCATTGTAACAAAGGATCAGAGTTTTATGAATGGTTAGAAAAAGGTATTAATAATGCACAGAAAACATTTATTAGATATTTTTATGGAAGAGAAGTACTATAGGAAAACATATGAATATTTATGGAAGGAAGCCAGATTAATTATGACAAATATTGTTTATTTTAAAGTTAAGTAAACCACTGCTATTGCAGCATTATGAAAATCATAAAAGTTGTAGCATCAGTGCACTGGATGTTCCATGTGATCAGTATGGAATGAAAGTGGAATGGTCATTCTACTACACCTACGTATAGTTTATGCAGTTCAACATTGCTATAGCCATGAATTCTACTAGTATTTTTAAAAAAATAATCTCAGTGGTTCTAAAAAAAAGTCAAAACCATGGATTTTGCTATCAAGATTTCTGTCACAGAAAGCTTGTTTGGAAGAGTGTTGATAAAATTCTACTGCAAAACATTTTCTAAGTAAAAATAGCGAGAAAAAGAAAAAAATTCCAAAGTAATAAAAATGTTTTCATGGAACAAAATAGTTAGCATTTGCTTACTATTTGATTAAATAAGATTTACTTACATTTTCTTTGAAGTGTTTTAATTTTTTTAATGTCTGTGGAGTATTTGTATAATACCATGATGTATATTTATGTAGAACTGAAATTATAACAGTACAAATATCACTATAGGAGAAAAATGACATTTTAACGTATATTGTTCTATCCAGTCAAATTGTGAATCATTTTGAAGTTCATTATAGAGATATTGATAAATTGTGTGGTTGTCTTAATGTTTTTTTAATTCTTATTTCATATCCAGCTGAGGTTTTCAGTTAGAATCATCAGTTGGTAAATTCCAAAAAATGGATAATTGAACTTGGTTTAAACCTGATAATTGTATACGGTTTAGTTAAACCTAATCATAGCGCTGAGTGATGACATACTTTTAATACAGTATTCAATTTACTTGAACAAAAGAGTTCCGTGTACATATTTTGCCTATTCACTGTTGATATGTACGTAGTCAACTGACAGTAAAAAAAATAACACTAAAAATATGGTACCAAAAGGAAAATTGTATAGGAGAACAGTAAATAGTAGCCTCACTGCAACAAATACTTATGTAAATATGCTTGGGCTTCCAGTTATAAATTTTGTAATTTTGTCATTTATTTATATCCTATAAAAGCACACAAAATAAAATGAAGTTGTACAGTCCCAGTGCTTTGTGCATCATTTTATCATTGCTAAAGGACATAAGGGGCCTGATCCAAAGTATACTGAAATCAGTGAAAAATCCTCACCTCCTCTTTCCCCGATTTCATTGGGCTTTGGATCTTGTCCTGCATAAACCCAGGCATTGCTGTGGAGACAGTTTTGGGTTAGAATATAGATTTTTGTTTACGGATGGTAAATACTTCATACTTTAAAGGCCTTAATTAACCGGTTCTTTGGTGCACTACTAAACTGCTGACTTCCCATATTTAATCGCACCCTGTAAAGACTCACAGAAGGAGTTACGTTAAAACACATTCACTTCAGGCACCAAAAGTACAAAGTGGCCAGATTTTCGGGCTATAAAACTGGGGCACCTCTTATGTAGCTGAGTGACCCCTAAAATTAAAGGATGAGACAGGAGCCACAGCACAAGTCTAAGCAGATGTAAGGGAAAGGAGTGAAACAACAGGAAGAACTGGCAACTTGGAAGAAGAATTTGATCTGGGTTCATCAAAGAGATGTCAAGCAGGTGAGGTGGCACAGTAAGCTGACGGAGTTGTTTGGGAGGGATAATCAGGGCAAAAGAGACTGAGGATGGCTAGCAAGACTGATGAAAGATGAGACAGGTTGAAAGACTGGTGGGGCAGGGAATGAGCGTGAAGAGAAAAGTTTTGGGATGCAGTTGAGTCACTGAATGACTGGAGCCCCCCACAGCAGATATAAATTGAAACTGGAAGGAGATAGAAGAGTTAACAGGCATAAGGCACTTCTGTATTTGCAGAAACCTGGGAATTTAGAGGGAAACATTTCCCTCACTAACTGATACTAGTGTAATCCAGTTGGAGAGAAGTCCATGGAGTCCCCTCTGGCACATGACAGTGGGTCAGCATTCCTTCTTCAGATCCAAAGAGCCTTCTACAAACCTGCACTAACCCAAAGCAGTTACCACTTGATCTTTAGTCCTTTTTGGTCAAGGTGACTTTCCATTAAAGTTCCTAGTATGCTGGAAGTGTATAGGCATTAAGGGTACAATGGTCAGTCTTAAAAGTGAAGGTAGGGAAAAAGCCAGACACCTCCAAAAGATCAGAAAGTGAGGAGAATTGCTATTCTTGACCTCCATACTCAAGGTAAGAGGGAAGCAGAGGCAGTCAAGGAGAGTATGTGAAGAAACTGGAGCATCTGGATGTTGCAAAACCAGGGGTTAATTGCAACAACTGCCTTACAGTGGGAGGGTGGAGAACAGGCAAAAGAAGAGAGATAATACGGAAGCAGATTGCATGATGTGAGAAGATAAGGAAATTGGAATCAAAGTGAGGTAAGTGTGTGACAAAAGATTTTGATAATCATTTAGGTAGTGAGGTCTCCAATATGCAAGGTAAAAAAGCTGCTTCTGGGAGAAGGCTTAAAGACTGGAGAAACTCCTGAGGAAACAACAGGGAAGTTCTGTGTTGTGGAGGTTTTCCTATAGCAGATGTTGCATTTCAGACTGGACATGGTAACTCCTCCAACCTGGCCTGGTGTTTATTAAAAGCCAGAGGAGCTACTGGTCACAGCTGGCAGGAGGAGACACTCAGCATATCTGGTTCTGGTATTCTCCCAATAAGTTTATGAGAGGCTGCTTCTTTTGCAGAACCACAATGTTACACATGCCTTGCAGTTTGAAGCCAACATCTCAGCATCAAAGCCTGGCACAGCCATGAAATGGTGACCATTGGGAAGAGAATTAGCAGGTCATGAAGAAAGTTGTGTCAGTCCTTTGGAAAAGAAAGCAGCATGCTAGACAAATAATAAACTTTCACATCCAACTGTGAAATAGCTTATAGCTTCCATTCTAGATTGAAACAGGCAGTTTGTGCCATGTGCAGAACTCTTATTTAATTTTGCCCTAGATTTCTTTCAATGTGTGCTGTTCAGCTGTCCCGCTTCACACTTCACTGGAGGATGATGTCTAAGATGTTATCAAGACAACAGTCTAGAAATAGTAACTTCAGCTGTCTCCAAACTACCAGCCCAGAGAACAATTGGCTCTGCAAGAGAACTGTGTGGCAGTGACAAGCATGTAAGTGAAAGACACGGCATAAGGATTAGAGACAATATTTAGATGTGGGCACTTATCTAACAAGAGTGATATCCGTTATCTCATGTAAAAAGGCCAGCTGAAGAGAGTGGGAGAAAAAAAGACTCTTAACTTGCTGGAAATAGTGACAGGATTTTCAGCTCACTAGAAAGCACAGGGGGATAACGCTCAGGCTTCTACTGAAAAGCTCTGTAACTGTTTAGGGCTCTGTAACTTCTTTAGGTGAACCAACTTCTTTGGTAAACTAGCAAACTGACCATACTGCTACCAAGTCCACCCTTGAATACACTGGTTCTAGTTAACTTTCATACCGGTAAGTTGATAACCCAAGCTAGACAGAGGCTGATCACAAGCTCAGCTAACTGAAACAAACATACAAGATTCACTTGCAGCCAGAGTTCACACTAGGATGTAGATTTTGTGGAACTGGTGGATGATTTCCTTCCTGCT